TCGGTGTATAGAAATGTGTTTAATTTGTGAACTTAATTTGTGAATAGGTCAAAATGCAAAACAGTGTTTACGCTGAAGAGTGAGACGCAGCGTTAAGTATTTCCCCACAGTAAATGTATATGTCAGGAAATGTCAGCCTTAAAATGGGATTTCTCTGGAAGGACACTCCCCCCGGACACACACGTCTGCACAAGTCCTTCACAGCCTTTTGGAATCAGGAAGTATCCACAAACAATGCTACCTTGTTTCCTCATTAAAAGAACATATGGGGCTTTTTAACATGATAATGATGCTATTTACTTTAATATTTTAGGATGATTTTTTACGGAAAAAATACAGAGGCAAGTTTCAATTCATGCACACAATCTGTAAATGATACACACTTCTTTCACTCAAATACAGCTGTGTTTCTCTCTTATATGATTCATTTATTTGGAACGTTCCAAAGAACCACTGATTTAAAAAGGAAAACCATGTACTTTGAGAAGGGTGCCCAAACTTTTGCATATCACTGTGTATGAAGTGTTTAGGAAAATGACCTTGGCAAGTCTTTCAACAATAGCAATAATTTTACTTTTTGGAGGCAGAATACGCTCTGAATTTGTTGTAATAGTGTAAAAAGTTAAAGTTGGGCACTTAAGGTTTGTTTCATAAATCATACTTTGTTTGTGCCGACAGAATCAAACACAACATATTGTCTTAATTTCAATAGAAACTCAATCTGTATTCACTTCAAACGTACGTTTTTATATTTTGTATAAATGCCCACTCCCACTCCTTGCCTGTGGGGGTGTACCTGGAAAGAGAATTACCCTATGCTTTTGTATGGTGCCTTCTTTCCTCTTGAAAACGTCTTTACAGTTCTAAAGTTGCTCTTGGTCAAATGCTACGTCCCAGATGCTGTCGATGCTGAAGGGACTATTCTTTTTGGGCCAGTCTCGTTTAGCCGCTGTGGACTTTAGAATGCATTCGTTACATGAATGGGGCGAGCGTGACTACGTCTACAGTCTATGGTTGGGAATAACATGTCATTATTTATGGGGGGAAACAAGTAAAAAAAACAGATTTATTACTAATTATATCAAATATTATAAGACAAGCTATAAATAAATATTATAATTCGAACCCATGCTTATACTGATTAATTTGCTATATTTCCCTTGTGAATCAGTAAAATATGTAGCAGTGAGTCCAAGCCTGAATAAAACATGATCAGAGACCTTGGCCCGGTGTAAAGCTGTGGGTGGTCATTATTTTTGCCAGGATCGGAGAATCCTAATCTGCAGTAATCTACCTGGATTTGTCCAACAACATGAGTCGAGCTGTGGCTATGAATGAAATTACAGCTACATCAGATGTAGGAGAAGGAGGTTACACTGCCACAGCTAAGACTGTAGTACATCATATATAATGGTCCAATCACACGCTGACGTCTTGTACCATGTGATTCCAGTGGGATTAGATTGGATATTCCAAAAAATGCAGTGCTCTGTTTAAAAATTTGCACAATTAGATCTGCTGTAGTATTAATAAAAACATCTTGGGGTGGCGCAGTGGTTATCGCTTGTGTTTCACTGCAAGAATGTCTTGGGTTCGATTCCACCTCAAGGCCTGGTTGTGTGGAGTTTGCATGTTCTCCCTATGTCTGCGTAGGTTTCCTCCAGGTTCTCCGGTTTCCCCGACCACTAACATTTTGTAAAAAAGGTCAGACATGCACCTCCTGTCGGTGACCCCGCTCCTAGTCAAGGGCCGTTGGGATGGGTCCAGGGTCGGGGTTCTGTCTGTTCCTTTAAAGTCTTCATCATCTAGTAGGCCCTTGAAGGTCAGCGAAGACTCTTTTCTTGGAGGTGAGCAGGTTGATCCTTTTAATGGCATCGTCAAATATCTGGCTTGGGCATACTGCTGGTTGGAGTCGTCTCCCAACTAATCTGATTCTTTGGGCTTTAGGTGCAGGTGAGTCTATCCTGTGTTTGTTCCTGCTGTCTTTGTAACTGTGGAGCTTCTTAGCTGAGGAAGCTGCTGGGTGAAGTCCTGTTTTGTGGTGGTGTAAGCGTGATGAGGAGTCCCTCTCCATGGTGCTGAAAGTGGTGTTCCCTGTATCGCTTCTGTCTATCCCTTTGAAATTTCACTGTGTGGTTTTTCTTTGGTCCGCATAACTGAAGGCTGGTATGGTTGTTCTGTCGGTGGAAATGCAGACCATTTCCTCAAATCTTCAGGTTAAGACTAGGTTTCCTCCAGGTACTCCGGTTTCCCCTACCACTAAAAACATGTACAATAGTTCTGGCATGTGCGTCTTGTACTGGCCCCGCTCCCATCTCTGTGTGGAGTGAGAGACTAATGCCCAAAAAAATAACAAATTGTAAACCGCTTTGTGTCTCTGATCTGTGAAAGGCACCTGTTCAAATCCCAGGATATTTCTGCGTGGAGTTTGCATGTTCTCCCTGTGTCTGTGGGTTTTTTTCAGGCTTCTCCGGTTTCCCCTACCTCTAAAAAACTAAATCAATAGAAAAATCCTACAGCTCTGGTCTTGACTAAGCATTAACATCTGGAGATTGGTTAGTGGCTTTTCAAGATGGGTCAAATGCAGAGGACAAAGTTTCCTAATGGGGATAAACTGCACACTTATCTATTAATAATTTAGTGTATTTGAAAACTCAGTATTGCTCCAAATCCATTAATTGAGTCTGTATGTAATGTCCCCTTTAATTACGTATAAGATTTCACACCAAAGCCATGGGACCACCCTTGACAAAGCACATGGCCTTTACATAGATATAATCAAGACACCATTCCTCCGAGCACAATGGAACGTAAATAGACTGTCAAGAGACGCAGCGATTCCTCCATAAAGGCGGCGAAAATACACCTGAAAATGAGGAAAGGATCGAGACGTCCTCAGTTCATGGGCTCAAAAAGCAGAAGACTAATTCTGCAGCTGGGAAATGACGACAACAAAGGAGAAGGTTAACACTTCGGGAGGGGAGAGGGTAAGAGCGGCTCCATGGTAAAAATATTGTGCTTAATTAATTCACTGGAAACCGAAGCTCCGCGCTCAGAGAATAATCCAGGCAGTTCAACCAAAATCAGGTCAAAGGTCCAGTGCTTCATTTTTGCCTCAAAATATCAAAAAGAAAAACTAGTTTAAACCAATTTGCCGCAGTCAAAGCCAAGAGGAGCATGGTGTCTTGGCTCCAGGATGTTAGAACATTTCTGAATTCCTCTTAAAGCAACTTTGAGTGTGTAAATGACCTGGTCCTGTTGACGAGACCGTGTGAACAATAAAACTATTGTCCTTCAATCGAACTTTTGAATCCAGCACGAGGCACATACTTGTTGCTTTGAACCTGCGAGGAAACCAGTATCTCCTCCCACCAGTAGCCGTTCACACACACACCAGACTCATTCTAATGTGGCTGAAGTGTCTTCCCCATGGACACAACAACAGTTTGACCCCACTGTGGGATCAGGTGTTCCCAGAGGTCTCCCATCACAGCACTAACCAGGCAGCCCTGCTTAGCTTCATAGGTCTGCCTGGTTCAGATTAATTCAGGTAAGCGTTTAGATAAATACAAATAATTAAAACAGTGTATACATTCTCAGTGGATATATTTAATACAATAAGATTCCAGGCAGATGATCCACCTTTTCAATTTTCTTCTGCTATATCCATTGCTGGGTCACGGGGGCAGTCTCCAGCACAATGAAGCAAGAACAGTGATAGTGTGGATTATGCATTCGGCCTTAAAGGATAACTGAACACAATTCTTACAATATGATAATTTTAACCGGTGATTTTAACATACACATTGACAATCCCTCTGACAATTTTACCCTAGATTTCTTAGATGTTCTTAATTACATGGATTTTACCCAACACGTCACACAGCCAACACACAACAGGGGACGCACCCTCGACCTGGTCATTACCTATGGCCTGACTGCGGATGTGTCCTCTGTTGTCGACTTGGCTGTCTCGGACCACTACTGTGTGTTTTTTAACATCACTGGTATTATTCAGCGTGAGACCTCTGTGAGAACCGTGAGGAAGCGACATCTAACCCCTGAAGTGGCTGCAAATTTTATCGACATCCTAAACAACACTCCCCACTTGGTTTTACCTGCCCCCTGTGATTTTATAGCAAATGATTTTAACAGTAGACTTAGTTCTGCGTTGGATCAGGTGGCTCCTTTAAAAACAAAAATCATAAAAACAAAATCTGCACCCCCATGGAGAAATGAAGAAGTATGCAAAATGAAACAAGAGTGCAGGGTGGCAGAACGAAGATGGAGGAAAAATAAAACAACAATCAACTACGAAATATATAAAAACAATCAAAAAGCATACAATTACACAATTAGAAATCATAAGAACAAATACTTTGCAAATCTAATCAGCCAGAACAAAAATAATCCAAAAATCCTCTTTTCAACCATCGACACCATTTTAAACCCTGATTTTAGCATGTCTCTTTTAACCCCCACAGACTCCCTCTGTGAGGATGTTGCAGTCCACTTCATGGGGAAGATAAATACAATCAGATGTAACATTTTATCCAACCGCACAACTGTTTTTAACACATCTGATTGTTTGTCTTCGCCAGAGGAAACACTGGACAGTTTTGTCCTGGTTGATGCTGAGATGCTTGATAAAGTTTTCTCCTCACCACATGTCTTTTAGATCCAGTCCCCACTCCATTTTTTAAGTCATTTTATGAATCTTTTAGAGAGGAGCTTTTAAACCTGATGAATTGCTCTCTTCAGACTGGGGTCTTTCCTGCAGCCTTCAAAGCGGCTGTGGTGAGACCCCTTCTGAAGAAGAGCAATTTGGATTTTAATGAAGCTTAAGCGGAGGTTCAGGATGGTAGACTACCTACGTTATCACGCCAGGCTTGACCACGCCTTACTCAGCCTGTCTTAATCAACTCCCCGCAGCCGTGTCAATCAAGCCAGCGTTTAAGAGCAAAGCAGAGCACAGCTCACCAAACGGACTTCAAGCTGCAATGGGCTGCTCTTCGTCACTTTGTTTACTCACGCCTCGCACATTGTTCGTCCTGCATGGTCGCGGCTCCTCTTCAACATCACATGTTTGGGGCTGCGCGCCATGGTCGCTGTGTCTCCACCGCGGCTCCTCTCCTGCGGACTCGCTGCCGCTCGTCTCCCCGTGGCCGCTGCGCTCGCGGCCAGGCTCCGCGCACCCTGCCGCTTCCATACCGGGAACGGGACTTCTGTTTGCCTGCCGTCGTCTGCTGCCTCTGTCCACCCGTCTCCCTGCCTCCACTCACGGTACAGTGTCCGTTTCGTTGTTTTCCCCACTACCATGAACTGCACTGAACTGCGGCGTGTCAGTTAATCCCGCCAAATTGGCTCGCAGGCTGTGTTTTTACCCGATGCATCGTCTGCAGGCTGTTCGTTTTACCATCTGCACTGGCATTTAGACCGTCCGTTTTCACCATGGACCGCACATTTTAACCACTGTATTGGCCTTCTGGCTGTCCGTTTTACTCATGGGATGAACATTCTACACAATGCAGTGACCTCCAGGCTGTCCGTTTGACTATGGTCTGAACATTTACCCACTGCATTGACCTTCAGGCTGTCAGTTGTAACCATGGACTATAACATTTGTCGTCTGCTTGGCCTTTGCGCTGTCTATTTGACCGTGGACTGTAAGTTTTGCCCACTGCATTGCCTCCCGGCTGTCCGTGTCTGATGAGCTGCTCTGATTGGTCGGAGCGCGGCCGAGCCCCTCTGTACTGTTCGACAACCAGCACTTTTAACCAGTGCGTTGGCCTTCAGGCATGCTTCAACGGCCTCACTTCAACGCTTCATCGCAGCACACGTCGGCGGCCGCACACTTCAACGCCCACACGCTTCGCCGACGCCACTTCGGTGGCCGCACGCTTCGGTGACGCCGCTTTGGTGACGCCACTTCGGTGGCCGCACGCTTCGACGACGCTTCGACGACTCCACGCTTCGACTCCTCCTCCACGCTTCGACTCCTCCTCCACGCTTCGACTCCTCCTCCACGCTTCGACTCCTCCTCCACGCTTCGACTCCTCCTCCACGCTTCGACTCCTCCTCCACGTATCGACGACGGCGCACGCATCGACGACGGCGCACGCATCGACGAAGGCGCACGCATCGACAAAGACGCACGCATCGACGAAGGCGCACGCATCAACGAAGGCGCACGCATCGACGAAGGCGCACGCATCGACGAAGGCGCACGCATCGACGAAGGCGCACGCATCGACGAAGGCGCACGCATCGACAAAGGCGCACGCATCGACGAAGGCGCACGCATCGACGAAGGCGCACGCATCGACGAAGGCGCACGCATCGACGAAGGCGCACGCATCGACGAAGGCGCACGCATCGACGAAGGCGCTCGCTTGGGCGGCGCACGCCTTGACGCGGCACGCCTTGGCGCCTCAACAACGCAGCACGCTACGCCGCAGCACGCTTTGACGCAGCACGCTTTGACGCAGCACGCATCAACGATGGCGCACGCATCAACAACGCAGCTCGCTTGGACGCCGCACGCCTTGACGCCGGCGCACGCCTTGACGCCGGCGCACGCCTTGACGCAGCCGCATGCATCAACGACGCCGCTCGCTTGGACGCCGCTCGCTTGGACGCCGCTCGCTTGGACGCCGCTCGCTTGGACGCCGCTCGCTTGGACGCCGCTCGCTTGGACGCCGCTCGCTTGGACGCCGCACGCCTTGACGCCTCAACGACGCTGCACGCCTTGATGCAGCACGCTTCAACGACGGCGCACGCTTCAACGACGGCGCACGCTTCAACGACGGCGCACGCTTCAACGACGGCGCACGCTTCAACGACGGCGCACGCTTCAACGACGGCGCACGCTTCAACGACGGCGCACGCTTCAACGACGGCGCACGCTTCAACGACGGCGCACGCTTCAACAACGGCGCACGCTTCAACGACGGCGCACGCTTCAACGACGGCGCACGCCTTGAGGCAGCACGCTTTGAGGCAGCACGCTTCAACGACGCCGCACGCTTTGACGCAGCACGCTTCATCGCAGCACACGTCGGTGGCCGCACGCTTCATCGCCGTACGTCGGTCGGCGCACACGCTTCCACGTCGGTCTCCGCCTCCTGCCGCATTCTCGACCTCATGCTTCGACGCATTCGTGTGCTCTCATCCATTCATCGTGGAACCAGTGTCGACCATGGACTCGCGTTCCCTATTGGTGGGTAAACAATCCAGCGCTAGGAGAGTTCTGCTTCACAATGACGGGAAGAGCCGGCATCGAAGGATGACTGAAGACGTGGTCTGACTGAAGACGCGGTCTGACTGAAGACGCGGTCTGACTGAAGACGCGGTCTGACTGAAGACGCGGTCTGACTCTGCCCGTTGGTCCTTTTCACTCGAGTGATAGTGGTTCGAGGTTTCTCTTTTCAGCTTCGCAGGAACGCGATGCCGCAACGCCGCACCAAAGCTCTGCTACAACGCCGTGACGGTGGCCTGCTGCAACGCTGGCCTGCTAAGACTGCATGAGTACTGTCGGCGTGGCCTTCAAACCTGGCCGGCTATCTTCCCCAGGCCGCACTCATTGGCTTTTGGTGTGCAGCACTGCCCGCCACGGTTTGCGTGCACTCTGAGTGGCTGTAGGCGGTGCTCCTTCTCATGTTCCCCAGGCATATTCTCTCCTGGTCTCCTGGTGCGGCTCCTGCCGCCGGGCCTGTCTCACGCTTCGCCTTACCTGACGCACCCTGGCCCTCATTCTGACCGGGCCCTTGTGCGTTGGTTTTTGGGGGTCCAGAGATCTCCTATCGAACATCAATCTTCCTGGGTAAGTGTACTTCATGAATCTCATTTTCACCTTCTAGTCTCCCCAAGTGGAATCATGTTCGAATATCAGCGCTCTAAACACCAGCAGTTCATCCTTCATTCAGCATTCTCCTTTCCCTCTCACTGCACACTCTCAGTCTCTGGACATCAGCATCGCGGGTACTGCCGTCACTGCCTCATCTACATCGGCATTAAATACATTCTCTAAAATCCACTTCGAGTCACACTGCTCCACCCTCATAAGAAGATCCTTAAAGGAGTATTGGCATGGTCCTTGTTCTGTAGTTTAGGTCCTGGACGACTAGCCTGTCTGTCCGTGGAGTGGATTCCCTCTCTCTATGTAGGGTCTTCCAAAGGTTTCTCACTTTTTTCCCCACGGGGTTTTGTGAGTTTTCCTTGCCATGCAGGAGGGTCTGGACAGTTAGTGTCCAACTAGAAGGCCCGTGGTGATGATCCAGGATACTTTAACATTCTACAACATCTATGGACATTTTATCAACATTCATAGACTATAATTACTCCTTAAACAATCCCTCAACGACCCCCTGGTCTGAACAAATTCAAAACCTCTGCTCCCTGCATGTAACCTCTCTTCCTTTCTCTACACCCGCCACTCCTTCCGGATAGGAGCAGCCACTTGGACTGCTGCCCTGGGACTCCCTCAATCATCTCTCCAGGAGCTCGGTCCCCGGTTCTCTACCACATTCATCCGTTCTGGCAGCCCAGCGCCTCCTCTCATATAAGTACGTATGCATCTCCTGGTGGTGGCAACTCCTCATTTCCAGCATGCCGCGCACTCGAGCCGAGCTCGTGCGCGTGCCAACGCCTAGCGCTAGAGCCAAGCTCGCGCACGGACATTACGCCGCGCACTCGAGCCGAGCTCATGCGCGTGCCAACGCCTAGCGTTAGAGCCGAGCTCGCGCACGGACATTACGCCGCGCACTTGAGCCGAGCTCGTGCGCGTGCCAACGCCTAGCGCTAGAGCCGAGCTCGCGCCCGGGCATTACGCCGCGCACTTGAGCCGAGCTCGTGCGCGTGCCAACGCCTAGCGCCAGAGCCGAGCTCGCGCACGGAAACAGTCACTCACACCATGCGCCTTCCATAAACGCAGCAACCAAGTCATGGCAAACGCATCGCTAGCCAAGCTCTCTTTTTGGGGATCATGATCTGCACCCAGGCGCAGATCTCTCCAGAGCACGGCCACAGCCGGGGCCTAAGCTCCAAACCAATAAACGAACTCAATCCATAAAATAAACAACTCTTAAACGCATCTCGTCTCTTGTAGTCTCTCCAGGTTGAAATGGAGCTTAAGCGGAGGTTCAGTATGGTAGACTACCTACGTTATCACGCCAGGCTTGACCACGCCTTACTCAGCCTGTCTTAATCAACTCCCCGCAGCCGTGTCAATCAAGCCAGCGTTTAAGAGCAAAGCAGAGCACAGCTCACCAAACGGACTTCAAGCTGCAACCACCTCCTCCCCACCTCCGCCTCAGGATTTCTTCACTTTCACATTCACCTTGCCTTGTTGCCACCACCAGTGTCTAGGCCCCGGGGGATCATGATCTGCACCCAGGCGCAGATCTCTCCAGAGCACGGCCACAGCCGGGGCCTAAGCTCCAAACCAATAAACGAACTCAATCCATAAAATAAACAACTCTTAAACGCATCTCGTCTCTTGTAGTCTCTCCAGGTTGAAATGATTTTAACAACTACAGACCGGTATCCAACTTACCATTTTTAAGCAAAATTTTAGAAAAACTTGTTTTTACCCAGCTCAATGCCTTTTTCGATCAGCAGCAAATTTTAGAGACATTTCAATCAGGTTTTAGGGTGAACCACAGCACAGAGACTGCTCTTTTAAAGATCTTAAACGATTTTAGACTAAGTTATGATTTCAAAAAGGTGACCGTGTTGGTTCTACTGGATCTTAGCGCTGCCTTCGACACAGTAGACCACACCATTCTTTTATCCCGCCTACAACACCTCGGCCTCTCTGGTGCTGTCCACAAATGGTTCACTTCTTATTTAACAGACAGATCCTTCATGGTAAGTTTGGATACCTGCTCCTCTCAGGTCCATAAAATCACATGTGGTGTGCCCCAGGGTTCCATTTTAGGTCCAGTCCTTTTTAACCTGTACATGCTCCCTCTTGGCGGTGTCGTCAGGAGACATGGAATTAACTTCCACAGTTATGCAGATGATACACAGCTGTACATCTCCATGTCTCCTGATGACACCAGGCCAATGGATGCTCTTTTTAACTGCATTTTAGACCTGAAATCCTGGATGGCAGAAAACTTTCTCTAGCTTAACCAGGACAAAACTGAGGTTTTAGTCATCGGTCCTGAGGCCCAGAGAGAGAAACTTTTATCAAAACTCCAATCACACTCTTTTAATCCATCATCACAAGTGAAAAATCTGGGCGTAATCTTTGACTCTGAGCTGACTTTTATTCCTCACATCAAGAGTATCACAAAAATAGGTTTTTATCATCTAAAGAACATCGCCAGAGTCCGCCCCATTCTCTCTCGGGGCAACACGGAGACGCTGATGCTTTTATCACCAGTCGCATTGACTACTGTAATGCCCTGCTCTCTGGTCTTCCCAAAAAGAACATTGCAAGTCTTCAATTACTCCAAAACTCGGCCGCACGTGTCCTGACTAAGACCAGGGGGCGTGTCCTGACTAAGACCAGGGGGCGTGTCCTGACTAAGACCAGGGGGCGTGTCCTGACTAAGACCAGGGGGCGGGTCCTGACTAAGACCAGGGGGCGGGACCACATTACACCGGTTTTAAAATTGCTGCATTGGCTCCCCGTGTGTTTCAGAATCGATTTTAAGGTTCTTTTAATGGTTTTTAAATGTCTTAATGGTCTTGGGCCTTCTTATCTTTCAGATTTGCTTTTATCCTATGAACCTTCCCGGCCCCTGCGCTCCTCCGGCAGCAGACTCCTAACCATCCCCAAAGTCAGGACACACACTCACGGCGAGGCATCTTTCCAGCACTACGGCCCCCGTCTCTGGAACAGTCTGCCGGAGGAGCTCAGGGCCGCAGAGAACGTTCATATTTTTAAGAGTAGGCTCAAGACGCACCTTTTTAGATTAGCTTTTGATTAGTTTTTATTATTCCATTCTATTTATCTTTTATTATTTATTATGTATTATATTGCTATTGCTATTATTCATGTATTGTGTGTTCCTTTTAGTCTCACATTTTAGTGTTTTACTTATTGTATTGTTTTTAGTGTACCCAGTGTTTCCTCTGGAGGAGCCCTCTGCACCGGGAGCAGTGGTCGGTGTGGCTGCGGGGGTCGGACTCTTGGGCCTGGTGGGGGCCCGGGGGCCTGGGGCCTCGGTTTCATGTCTCCTCTGGGTCCTGTGTCGTCCCCTGTGGCTACGGGCGGCTCTCTGCTCCTGGTGCAGACGGCTCCTTGGATGACGCTTTTTCAGCTGGTTGCATCTGAACCCTGCCAAGTCTCTCTTCATGTTTTTATTGTTTTACTGGTGTGTGTGTGTGTGTGTGTGTGTGTGTGTGTGTGTGTGTATGAGTGTTCATGAGCGTGTGTGTGTTTGTCTGTGGTTTGGGGTGGGTCTGTTGGGTGGTCTGGGGGAGGGGTCTTGGGTCGGCGGGATTGTTTTTAACCAAACTGTAAAGCACTTTGTGTTGCATCTTATGTATGAAAAGCGCTTTATAAATAAAATTTGATTGATTGATTGATTGATTTTTTTTTATTTTTTTTTTTTTTACTTACTTTACTTTCTTGTGCTTGTTGCATATCCAGGAACTTTTTTGTTGACATTTTTAGCCTACAATCTTCTTTATGGCGCCCTCTGTATCTATTTGGTGGAACTACATTTGAATTTGGTCCTGGCCTCCTATTGGCTCTGGAGTGATGTGTGACGTGAGTTTGTACAGTGTGACTCTCTGCGCCTGTGGTATAAAAGCATCTCACACACGCCCCAGCAGCGAGTTGGCGTATTCTGGCGACATCTAGTGGATTAAAATGGCAGGTTCAGGCGTCCATCTCTACAATTGTTAGCAATAGTTTACACACCAGAAAGTCTGGTGTGTAAACTATTGCTTTAAGCAGCGATGACAACTGTCTGATTTGTTTTTGTGTACGCCCAACTCTAAGCCCGCCTTCTTATCCCGTGGTTCTCCAAGCAATGCCCTTTCAGAGAGACTTTTCAAATATGGGCGGAGTCAGGCTGGGCACTGGTGTTTAGTTTTCCTTTAGGTCTATAGCAGCAGCAGTAAATACAGACCGACACATAATTAGCATAGTCCATACAAAGGCATTTTCAGAGATCTTTTTAGTGTGTACTACTCTGCGCTGAGCCCTCCATGCCGCCAATTAAGAACATGCGTGTGCAGAGGGGGCTTCCTGATGTTGTCGGCGGGAAGTGGAGTGGAGCCTTTGTGCTCGTAAACACACTGATCATTTCCTGCTGCCTGTGCTGAGCTTCACGTGTGGCGAGCAGCAGGAGCTAATGCTAATGCTACAGCCCATATGTGACGCACTAGGGCAGTTTGACCAACGCCACTCAAGGCTTGGCAACAGTTGGACTATTTTTATTGCACTAATAGTGAACAGGGCACGGTATTGTTTGAACGCAATTGTCCATCTGTGACGGACTTTTCTCTACGAGCTTCTTCTCTGCCCACGGACCATGACTCTTTAACAACCACTTCTTATTTTTTCTATCATAATAAGCTCAGAGTTGGGAAGATGTAACCTTTGACCTGTTGCCATACCAGGGATGCTCAGAGTTTTGTCATAAATAACACCTTTTTAGCCAATTGGGAGCATTGTAACTCATATCTCTGGTTTCATTTGCTGGAATTTAAACCAGTTCTTTGTGTTGATGGATTGGAGCACGTCAGACTCGGGCCCAAGGGTCAAATCCGGCCGTGAGACAATTTTTAGTTGCCCCTGAAATCATGTTCTTTTATTATCTCAGTAACCTGCAGATGGTGAGTGGCTGCTATGGCATGTTTTACTTCTCAGGAAAACAACCATGTAAAATGTAACCTGTTCTAAAATGCAATTAGAACTTATGGTATGGATCAATGGTAACCAAAACATGTCTTGATGTTTGGCCCAGCTGTGGTTAAATCCAAACCTACTAGAAAATATTATCCAATGTCAAATACAACTATTTTGTCAGAATGTGGTCGTTGACATTCCACACAATGGCCTCCCACATACTGAAGGTCAGGGGTGTCATTCATGAGGCCCGCGGCCCGGATCCGGATTCTGTTGCTGGTGCTGTTGCTGGTGCTGTTGCTGGTACCGATGGTAAAGGCAGGTGTTGTGACAAAGCCACAGATGGAGGTGATGATATTTGGACATTTGACTGTATTTTACACAGAGGCACTGCTGCAGTCGTTGTTGAAGTTGTTTTGTTAATTTCATGAATTTTTCATGAAATGTTAATTTCAACTGAATCATGGTCAGTTTGATGCTTTCTCTGTGATAATAACATAACCATGGACCTGACCACACTGAAGATGGTTAAGCTGAGGTGCTGTGTTAAAGTGTTTTTTTATATCTACCGACTGTACCTTTGTTAAAGCTACCGACTGTACCTTTGTTAAAGCTAGTTACTGTACCTTTGTTAAAGCTAGTTACTGTACCTTTGTTAAAGCTAGTTACTGTACCTTTGTTAAAGCTAGTTACTGTACCTTTGTTAAAGCTAGCTACTGTACCTTTGTTAAAGCTAGCTACTGTACCTTTGTTAAAGCTAGCTACTGTACCTAACACAAATATTAATATAAATATTGTGAAATGCCATTTACAACAGACTATTGTAAATACATGACTTTATTGGCACAAAACTCACTGTTACATTTAAGTTAGTAACAGATTTACCGTTAAAACTGAGCAAGTATTAGACCTTTGTACTCTTTTTTTAGGTATTTTTGTAGAGAATCTTCTGGTCTGGCCCAGTTGATCCAAGTAGGTCGTATGTGACCCGCAGACTCCTTACTTAGATTAGAGTGTGTTTTGCAGTGCAGTATTGTCGTGGCTCTCTGCGTTGGAGCGTGGGTAATCTGCGTGTTTAGTGCAGAGGACAGAGGACAGTGGACAGTGGACAGAGGACAGTGGACAGTGGACAGAGGACAGTGGACAGTGGACAGAGGACAGTGGACAGAGGACAGAGGACAGAGGACAGTGGACAGTGGACAGTGGACAGAGGACAGTGGACAGTGGACAGAGGACAGTGGACAGAGGACAGAGGACAGAGGACAGTGGACAGAGGACAGAGGACAGAGGACAGTGGACAGTGGACAGAGGACAGAGGACAGAGGACAGTGGACAGAGGACAGAGGACAGAGGACAGTGGACAGTGGACAGTGGACAGTGGACAGAGGACAGTGGACAGTGGACAGTGGACAGAGGACAGTGGACAGAGGACAGTGGACAGAGGACAGAGGACAGAGGACAGAGGACAGTGGACAGAGGACAGTGGACAGTGGACAGAGGACAGAGGACAGAGGACAGTGGACAGTGGACAGTGGACAGAGGACAGTGGACAGAGGACAGTGGACAGTGGACAGAGGACAGTGGACAGAGGACAGAGGACAGAGGACAGTGGACAGTGGACAGTGGACAGAGGACAGTGGACAGTGGACAGAGGACAGTGGACAGTGGACAGAGGACAGTGGACAGAGGACAGAGGACAGAGGACAGTGGACAGAGGACAGAGGACAGAGGACAGTGGACAGTGGACAGAGGACAGAGGACAGAGGACAGTGGACAGAGGACAGAGGACAGAGGACAGTGGACAGTGGACAGAGGACAGAGGACAGTGGACAGTGGACAGAGGACAGTGGACAGAGGACAGTGGACAGAGGACAGAGGACAGAGGACAGAGGACAGTGGACAGAGGACAGTGGACAGAGGACAGTGGACAGAGGACAGAGGACAGAGGACAGTGTACAGTGGACAGTGGACAGAGGACAGTGGACAGAGGACAGTGGACAGTGGACAGAGGACAGTGGACAGAGGACAGAGGACAGAGGACAGTGGACAGTGGACAGTGGACAGAGGACAGTGGACAGTGGACAGTGGACAGAGGACAGTGGACAGTGGACAGAGGACAGTGGACAGAGGACAGAGGACAGAGGACAGTGGACAGAGGACAGAGGACAGAGGACAGTGGACAGTGGACAGAGGACAGAGGACAGAGGACAGAGGACAGAGGACAGTGGACAGTGGACAGTGGACAGTGGACAGAGGACAGTGGACAGTGGACAGTGGACAGAGGACAGTGGACAGAGGACAGTGGACAGAGGACAGAGGACAGAGGACAGTGGACAGAGGACAGTGGACAGAGGACAGTGGACAGAGGACAGAGGACAGAGGACAGTGGACAGTGGACAGTGGACAGAGGACAGTGGACAGAGGACAGTGGACAGTGGACAGAGGACAGTGGACAGAGGACAGAGGACAGAGGACAGTGGACAGTGGACAGTGGACAGAGGACAGTGGACAGTGGACAGAGGACAGTGGACAGAGGACAGAGGACAGAGGACAGTGGACAGAGGACAGAGGACAGTGGACAGTGGACAGAGGACAGAGGACAGAGGACAGTGGACAGAGGACAGAGGACAGTGGACAGTGGACAGAGGACAGTGGACAGAGGACAGTGGACAGTGGACAGAGGACAGTGGACAGAGGACAGTGGACAGTGGACAGAGGACAGAGGACAGAGGACAGAGGACAGTGGACAGAGGACAGTGGACAGAGGACAGTGGACAGTGGACAGAGGACAGTGGACAGAGGACAGAGGACAGTGGACAGTGGACAGAGGACAGAGGACAGAGGACAGTGGACAGTGGACAGAGGACAGAGGACAGTGGACAGAGGACAGTGGACAGAGGACAGTGGACAGAGGACAGAGGACAGAGGACAGTGGACAGAGGACAGAGGACAGAGGACAGTGGACAGTGGACAGAGGACAGTGGACAGTGGACAGAGGACAGTGGACAGTGGACAGAGGACAGTGGACAGAGGACAGTGGACAGAGGACAGAGGACAGAGGACAGTGGACAGTGGACAGAGGACAGAGGACAGAGGACAGTGGACAGAGGACAGAGGACAGAGGACAGTGGACAGAGGACAGAGGACAGAGGACAGTGGACAGTGGACAGAGGACAGTGGACAGAGGACAGTGGACAGTGGACAGAGGACAGTGGACAGAGGACAGTGGACAGTGGACAGAGGACAGAGGACAGAGGACAGAGGACAGTGGACAGAGGACAGTGGACAGAGGACAGTGGACAGTGGACAGAGGACAGTGGACAGAGGACAGAGGACAGTGGACAGAGGACAGAGGACAGAGGACAGTGGACAGTGGACAGAGGACAGAGGACAGTGGACAGAGGACAGTGGACAGAGGACAGTGGACAGAGGACAGAGGACAGAGGACAGTGGACAGAGGACAGAGGACAGAGGACAGTGGACAGTGGACAGAGGACAGTGGACAGTGGACAGAGGACAGTGGACAGTGGACAGAGGACAGTGGACAGAGGACAGTGGACAGAGGACAGAGGACAGAGGACAGTGGACAGTGGACAGAGGACAGAGGACAGAGGACAGAGGACAGAGGACAGAGGACAGTGGACAGAGGACAGTGGACAGTGGACAGAGGACAGAGGACAGTGGACAGTGGACAGAGGACAGAGGACAGAGGACAGTGGACAGTGGACAGTGGACAGAGGACAGAGGACAGAGGACAGAGGACAGTGGACAGAGGACAGTGGACAGAGGACAGTGGACAGAGGACAGAGGACAGAGGACAGAGGACAGTGGACAGAGGACAGTGGACAGAGGACAGAGGACAGAGGACAGTGGACAGAGGACAGAGGACAGAGGACAGTGGACAGTGGACAGAGGACAGTGGACAGAGGACAGAGGACAGTGGACAGAGGACAGTGGACAGTGGACAGAGGACAGTGGACAGAGGACAGAGGACAGAGGACAGTGGACAGAGGACAGTGGACAGAGGACAGTGGACAGAGGACAGAGGACAGTGGACAGTGGACAGAGGACAGAGGACAGAGGACAGAGGACAGTAATAGGATCAAACCTGCCGCGGAGAAGGGCGGACACCTCCACAAATCGCCTTAATGGATAAAGCGGCGCACGGAGGATAACCTCCTCTCACTCCTGACGCTCCACTCCGACCGGATTACAGGCAGGATGTGGGCGTCGGCAGCAGAAGAATTATATTATCAACGTACAAGCTTCAAGTTGTAACAGGTAAAGCTGCGGCGCCTGACTTTTTCAATCAAAAAAGAGGAAATAAATGCTTGAATTGAAGTTTTTTATCTAAATCTGAGCACATTCTGAAAAATCAAGATTAACCAATGAGACAAAACCATGAAGTATAAGTCTATTAGTTATTTTCTCATTCCAAGAGAGACATTTCTTCAATCTTTTTAAAATCATGTTGCTTTGTCCCTTGGGAAGGTTTAGTTTTAAGGCTCAGTCAGAATTTCCAAATTTGAGCCATTTTCAACATTTTTTCCATCACTTTTTGCAGTGCACTAATTAGGAGCTAATTATTATCAATGTACCCTTGATTAGCACTTAATTAGATGTTCATGAGTCCTAACCTTAACCCACATGGGACAGGGTCATTTCACAGTCAGTTAGAAAGGTAATATGGCCATGTAGAGTAAGGACTAATAAGTGCTTAATAAAAAATAAATATGCGCTAATTATCCATAAATCACCAATTAACACTTAATCTGCTCGTTAGTGAGGGCTAAACTACAGAGTCTTGTAAAAGTAAAAACAAATGAATCTGCATAGAAAACATTTTGCGGACTTGTATGATGAGCCTTCTGAGTCACAGTTTGACTCTCTGGGCTGACAGCTGATTGGCTGAGTGAGGTCTTCTTCTCCAGCTATGACAGGAGGAGGTAAACATGATAAATGTCCGTGAATACAAAAGTTGGATGGATTTCATTGTTTTGTGTTTTAAAATGGCTTCAGATAAAACTACTTTTTTAGTGTAACTACAGCATTTCTCTTTTTTTTTATCAAAATGTTTGTAATCGTTGTTGTTTAGCAGTAAATACTGTAGATGTAACCTTGTCTGCAAGCTGAATTCTCGTGGTATTTGTGAGTTCACAAACACTCGAGAATACATCTTGTCCCGCTCCCGCCAACCCTTTTCGAGTAGAACATCTAGGTGTTCAAGCCAATCACGCGCCAGTCTGGGGGTTTAGGGCGGGATAGTGCCGGGCCGAAGCAAAACAAACATGGCTACGCAGGAGGACGGACACGTAGCTGAGGCTATCAAGTCAGTTTTAGCAGAATCTCCAATTTCTTTTTTGAAAGATGAACAGCGAGAGGCGCTATGTGCATTTCTGGACGGCAAAGATGTTACCGGGATTGGTTTAAGTCAAACCTTGGTAGGCGGGCACACAGCGTCACTTCGCCCAATCAGCTTGAAGTATTCTGCTGCTTATCCCTCCTTTCCCCGAAAGGATTCTCCTGCAGAAGTCCCAGATTGATATTGTGGAGAACGCATTAGAGTTCTACACAATCATCCATCTGCCTCTTGCCAGGTTAATATAGATTATTTGTTCATTAAATTGTACTTTTTTTCTGTTCAGAAAAACCACACTCTGCAAATTAATTTATCCAAAGGCCAATGCAATCTCTGTCTCTGTCTCTCTGTCTGTCTGTCTGTCTGTCTGTCTGTCTGTCTGTCTGTCTGTCTGTCTGTCTGTCTGTCTGTCTGTCTGTCTGTCTGTCTGTCTGTCTGTCTGTCTGTCTGTCTGTCTGTCTGTCTGTCTGTCTGTCTGTCTCTCTCTCTGTCTCTCTCTCTCTCTCTCTCTCTCTCTCTCTCTCTCTCTCTCTCTCTCTCTCTCTCTCTCTCTCTCTCTCTCTCTCTCTCTCATATTGGGAGCATATTGGCAGCTCTAATGTCTAAATTATCAAAAGAACACCTCCCCAACTTTGGGACAAGGACAATTTTCAAGCTGCACGCAGCGGTCCTGGCGCCCACGCAGCGGTCCTGGCGCCCACGCAGCGGTCCTGGCCCCCACGCAGCGGTCCTGGCCCCCACGCAGTGGTCCTGGCGCCCACGTCGCGGTCCTGGCCAACAACATCCCTAGACTAGCTCCAAGAAACCACAGAAGAATATACACTATGATTTAAAAAGTTGAAAAGGCAGTAGAGGAGGTCCGTGCTGTGCCATTCTGTCCCGTTCTTGGCAAACCTGGCGGAGAGGGGGGGTTGCCATGACGCCTGTGTGCGCTGGACTGTGAAGGTCACGGCGATAGCATCGGTCATGACGATTGCGGCGGTGACCCGGGTGGAAGATACACACGTTTAGACACGGAGGTGAGATGGTGCATGTGTGTGATTCTCAAGGGCAGATTCAGCTTAACGTACTGTATGAACAAAGAAATGCTACGGTTTTGGATTCATTTATTTGCCATTTGCAGTAAAACCACATTGGAATACATTTTTAAAAGTCCCCAGTGTGCACAAGACAAGTACATACAAAAAACAATATGAAAAGTATAGAATAATCCCCCCAAAAATACAGTAAAGAATTGTCAATTGTATGAAATCAATCGACTAAAACAGTTTCAACACAGGTGCAAGATCATTAAAGTGCTCTGTTCAAACTGATAACAGCCTGTTGGAAGAAGCTGTTTTCAGTTTGCTAGCACTTTAGCATGTCCTGCATCTCAGAGAACAATATCTTCTGTCAGAGGGAGGATGGCCAGAAGAGTCATTGATTATTCTTAGAGGTCTCTGGTCTCTCTCTGGTCTCTCTCTGGTCTCTCTCTGGTCTCTCTCTGGTCTCTCTCTGGTCTCTCTCTCTGGTCTCTCTCTGGTCTCTCTCTGGTCTCTCTCTGGTCTCTCTCTCTGGTCTCTCTCTGGTCTCTCTCTCTGGTCTCTCTCTGGTCTCTGACGAATATTCACAAAATGCTGCACATCAGACAAAGGAATATGCACTCAGGAATCATAGAGATGACCAGCTTACAAAACCAGACAATTATTGACTCCAAGAATAAACAAATGCTCTCTCCCACTCTCGACGAGGGCAAAAGTCCAACACAATCAGGCGCCCAGTGGTGGGGGGCATTGTTTGCTCAGGTGGAGATGGAAGACCGGGTCCAGACCAGGACCAGGGGCCAGACCAGTCCCAGATCTGTGACGTCATCGGACCCTTTGATAGAAACTGCTGGGAGGAGATTGGCAGTCAGTCAGCCGAGGGCCAGGAGAGGGACATATTAGTTTAGGAGCACTTTTTTTGTTGAATATTCTGTATCTGATTGTAAAGATAATTAAATGCAGATGTTAAACGTGAAGATCTCTTGTCTCGCTCTTGCATCGACTTTGGATACGTCAGTCAAAGGGAATTATTGACTTCATCTCTCTCTGGTCTCTCTCTGGTCTCTCTCTGGTCTCTCTCTGGTCTCTCTCTGGTCTCTCTCTGGTCTCTCTCTGGTCTCTCTCTGGTCTCTCTGGTCTCTCTCTGGTCTCTCTCTCTGGTCTCTCTCTGGTCTCTCTCTGGTCTCTCTCTGGTCTCTCTCTGGTCTCTGTCTGGTCTCTCTCTCTGGTCTCTCTCTGGTCTCTCTCTCTGGTCTCTCTCTCTGGTCTCTCTCTCTAGTCTCTCTCTCTGGTCTCTCTCTAGTCTCTCTCTCTGGTCTCTCTCTCTAGTCTCTCTCTCTGGTCTCTCTCTGGTCTCTCTCTGGTCTCTCTCTCTGGTCTCTCTCTGGTCTCTCTCTGGTCTCTCTCTCTGGTCTCTCTCTCTAGTCTCTCTCTCTGGTCTCTCTCTCTGGTCTCTCTCTCTGGTCTCTCTCTCTAGTCTCTCTCTCTAGTCTCTCTCTCTGGTCTCTCTCTCTGGTCTCTCTCTCTGGTCTCTCTCTCTAGTCTCTCTCTCTGGTCTCTCTGGTCTCTCTCTCTGGTCTCTCTCTGGTCTCTCTCTGGTCTCTCTCTGGTCTCTCTCTCTGGTCTCTCTCTCTGGTCTCTCTCTAGTCTCTCTCTCTGGTCTCTCTCTCTGGTCTCTCTCTCTGGTCTCTCTCTGGTCTCTCTCTGGTCTCTCTCTCTGGTCTCTCTCTCTGGTCTCTCTCTCTGGTCTCTCTCTCTAGTCTCTCTCTCTGGTCTCTCTCTCTGGTCTCTCTCTAGTCTCTCTCTCTGGTCTCTCTTTGGTCTCTCTCTCTGGTCTCTCTCTCTGGTCTCTCTCTGGTCTCTCTCTGGTCTCTCTCTGGTCTCTCTCTGGTCTCTCTCTCTGGTCTCTCTCTGGTCTCTCTCTCTGGTCTCTCTCTGGTCTCTCTCTCTGGTCTCTCTCTCTGGTCTCTCTCTCTGGTCTCTCTCTGGTCTCTCTCTGGTCTCTCTCTCTGGTCTCTCTCTCTGGTCTCTCTCTGGTCTCTCTCTCTGGTCTCTCTCTCTGGTCTCTCTCTCTGGTCTCTCTCTCTGGTCTCTCTCTGGTCTCTCTCTGGTCTCTCTCTCTGGTCTCTCTCTCTGGTCTCTCTCTGGTCTCTCTCTGGTCTCTCTCTCTGGTCTCTCTCTCTGGTCTCTCTCTCTGGTCTCTCTCTGGTCTCTCTCTGGTCTCTCTCTCTGGTCTCTCTCTCTGGTCTCTCTCTGGTCTCTCTCTGGTCTCTCTCTGGTCTCTCTCTGGTCTCTCTCTGGTCTCTCTCTGGTCTCTCTCTCTGGTCTCTCTCTGGTCTCTCTCTGGTCTCTCTCTGGTCTCTCTCTGGTCTCTGTCTGGTCTCTCTCTCTGGTCTCTCTCTGGTCTCTCTCTCTGGTCTCTCTCTCTGGTCTCTCTCTCTGGTCTCTCTCTCTAGTCTCTCTCTCTGGTCTCTCTCTGGTCTCTCTCTGGTCTCTCTCTCTGGTCTCTCTCTCTAGTCTCTCTCTCTGGTCTCTCTGGTCTCTCTCTCTGGTCTCTCTCTGGTCTCTCTCTGGTCTCTCTCTGGTCTCTCTCTCTGGTCTCTCTCTAGTCTCTCTCTCTGGTCTCTCTCTGGTCTCTCTCTCTGGTCTCTCTCTGGTCTCTCTCTGGTCTCTCTCTGGTCTCTCTCTCTGGTCTCTCTCTCTGGTCTCTCTCTCTGGTCTCTCTCTCTGGTCTCTCTCTCTGGTCTCTCTCTAGTCTCTCTCTCTGGTCTCTCTTTGGTCTCTCTCTCTGGTCTCTCTCTCTGGTCTCTCTCTGGTCTCTCTCTGGTCTCTCTCTGGTCTCTCTCTGGTCTCTCTCTCTGGTCTCTCTCTGGTCTCTCTCTCTGGTCTCTCTCTGGTCTCTCTCTGGTCTCTCTCTCTGGTCTCTCTCTCTGGTCTCTCTCTGGTCTCTCTCTGGTCTCTCTCTCTGGTCTCTCTCTCTGGTCTCTCTCTGGTCTCTCTCTGGTATGCGGTCTTTATCTGATCAGAAATCCTTTGCAAATTTGAACTAACGAAACTCTTGACTTGGTAATTCTCAAATGTAGTATTTATGTATTTCTCTGACTTAGAACATGTCATTTATTAATGCTATGGAGGGGGAGGGGCTTATAAGGATTCTTTACTTCTGTCTTCTCCTTTTGAGCTCTATATACTGTCGCACTTAAACAACACTGTCTGCTTTGTATGTGTCGCTCTGAGCCCCTTGTTTAGAGCTGAAAGCTGATTGGCTGAGTGGTGATGAGACGCCTCTATTCGTCTCCGTTTCCTGTTTTCTAACAAATAGCATGTCTCATTAAAGGGGAAGTATGTATTTTGTTATCATACTAAAATGACTAAATTACATCTTAAATCTGTGTCCCCAGATAAAAAATCATCAGGTCCAAACTGTAGGAGACCTTTTCTGAACGGTTCGGTCGTCTGAATGAAAAAATACAAAGGATATGATTTCTATAATATTTATGTTTGCGATTATCCAGAGAGCAGAATGAGACTTTCATTTGGGTCGCTAGTTGATTCTTTAGAGATACAATACAAGATGCAAGAATTTATATGCCATTTGCAGTAAAACCACATTGGAAAAACGGTGCAAGACTACTCCAGTGTGCACCAGACGGCACACACCAGAGCTCCTGACAAACAGGAACAGCAAAGACCAGTTACACACATTTCACAAGGACAGTTAGACATGTTACATCCAGACCTGCCTGGTCTTACCACACCATAGTATGTCATACTAAGGTCTGGATTTGCTAGCCTGACTCTCGCCAGACGCTTGTGGAAGCTGCGCTTCTCACAAAGGTCTGGGACTCCTTGATAGGAGTTAGATTTCAGAACGCAGGGCCTTGTAAAAAAAAAAAAATCCTTGTATGTAATTGGACAAACCACTTTTCAGTTATCTTGAATGACGTCTTCTTTCAACCACTCACATTGAAGCACACGGCTCCCAGGGGTTGCCAAATGCCGGCAAGATTTTCCAGCCTAGCTTTAGCCATCTCCTTTGCCGCTAACGGACCCCGTGGGGAGTAGAGCCACAGTTTTTGCAGTGATTACATTTGCTAAACATTCCTCTTGCTCCAGCTTCAGTTTCTTGATAGAACCAGAACAGAATACTTTACTATCACATCCTTCACCAAACTACAACCTGCCCGTTCGACGCAAACTCTTGACGTCACCCACATCTAACTACAACACCCGCCTCCCACGCTCTCTGATTGGTCGGATGGAATTCAACCGATTGTAATCGCAAACACAGGGACCAGACCCAGATGTTACCTGCAGGACATGATGATTGACCGGAGTGAACAGATGGATAAGGCTACATTCGGACAAGACACTGGAGATTTTTCATTGGATACAAACTGTGACAGTCCTGACCAATCCGGGCGACCGGAGAGGAATGGGAAGACCATTCCACCACCAAACTCTAAATGTATCTTTTTTTCTTTTTGTAGAAGGAAAAACAGCACCACACATTTGTTTGAATTTGTCATACTTAATACACATTTGTACTGTTTCTATTTGAACTCCAGTAGGTGGGTTGCATCAGTATCAGTGCGACAGTCAGGAAGATTCTTGTCGCAAAAATGTCATTGTAATTGTAACGACTTCATTAGACCAGTATAAGTGTGGTCAAAATACGCAACAGCAGCGTTTTTGATTTGAGGATGATTTTTGGTCGGTTTCATGAAGTTTCAAGGTCAGAGTGTGAGTGTGTGGGCTGCTGCAGTGTTCGCC